TTGCATTTGTATCCTTGTAGAGGCACTTGCAGTATTGCATGTGTATCTTGAAAAGAAAATTGCATTTGTATAAGGACAGCTGCATTTGCATCATGGTAAAGGGGTTGACATTTCACATCGTGATGGTTGATCATTGAAGTTTACTTTTTTGGTTTAAGGTTTTGTGTTTGCATTTTGATGATTGCAAGGATCCATACATTCACATTATCAAAATTAGGATTTTCATTAGCATATTTAAATAAGTGCTTGCATCATGCATCATTGGGTTAGACATTTGCATTTGCACCTCTTTTAAGAATTCTCGGATCTACCACATCAGGGTAGCATTAAAAGTTATATTAGAAATTACGTTTTGGTAAGAGTCATACTTTTGCATTTGCATTTGTAAAAAGAAATTCACTGGTGTAGATATCTACTTTTATCTAGGCAAAATCTAGTTATTTATGAAGTGCTTTAAATTTTGACCTAGTTGAAGTCTAATATTTCTTTAATTTTGAAAGTTTTTAAAATCAAAATTGAGACCAATTTGACCTAAATGCTTCAAAGTAAATTCTAGTCAAATTTAGTCAAACTTGATCAAATAAAGTCAAAATTAGTCAAACTCGATCAAAACAGATGAAACTTGGGTAAACTTTCAAAATTTACAACCAAATTAGAATCAATGTGCATTAAAATTGAAAATTGAGATATTAAAGCACTAAAAAGTTTAATTGCACTTTAAGAAATGTAAAACTACAAAAAAATACCCTTTAAGGTATTTTCATAATTTGATCCTTTCAAAGTCAGATTTTTGTAAAAATTTTTAAATTATAATTAATTTTTTTTTGAGGATTTTTGTTGCATTAAAAGCTTACATTACACATTGGGAGTTGTGAAATTACAAAATATCTTTAGAGATATTTTTGTATTTTGACCTTTCTAAATTCAAAATTTTACATAACACTTCAGATTATAGCTTGATATTATTTGATAATTTTTTAAAATTTGAAAACTTTGATTATACTTTGAAAGATATGAAATTATCAAAATACCCTTTAAAGGTAATTTCGTAATTTAATTTTTTTTATTTTTGTTTTTCATGAAACTTTCAGATTATGTTTTTATAATATTTAATAATTTTTGGTGCATTCAAAACCACTGCAATGCATTAAAAGGTGTGAAATTACTAAAATACCCCTTGGGGTAATTTTATATTTTGACACTTCCTAAAGTTGGAATTTCACAAAAATTTACATACCTTCATTCCATATTATTTCATAATTTTTGGTTCTTTAAAATCCTAAAAATAAACATAGGATCATTGATTTCCAAGAAAGTGGCATAAAGATAAAAAACTTTGTATTAGAAGCACAATGATTTTTTCCCTTGGACCCAAAAGCTTTAAAAATCCTTCATTTGATAGTGTGCATTCTAACCCATTGGATCACTTTGGGAATCTTGATCCAATGGTAAGATTTGGCTCATTGAAACCAAAAGCAAGGATGAAATATTAGCCGTTGGGTGAATTTATGATATAAGGGCCAAGATTTAATTTTTTTTTTTTAGATATTTTCAGCTTTTTCTTCACCAAAATTGTCACGTTTGCTACAAAAAGATAGGTGGGGAAGGATGTGAAAAAAAAAAGGAAAAAAAAGAAAAGAAAAAGATTGAAAAAAGCTTAGGTAGAATTCCTATTTTTTTCTTGCATTTTCATATTGATTTTCTATTTTATTTTTGTTTTCTTGAAAAATTTATGGTTCCCTCATCCTTTTTTTTGATTCAAACTTAGTTCAAATTTCATCAAACTAAACCATAGTTTAGATTGAAATCATAAGAATCAAGTAACAAAGAGCACATCCAACATTGAAACCAATTTGGAGGTTCAGTCAATAATTCTCCCACTATGGTCGAACCTTCTCATGGCTTGCTTTGAATGTTTTCTTGCTTTAAATCATGTATATGGAAGCTTTGATTGTTGTTTTATGTGTTTAATGTACATTTGATGTTGGTTTCTGTAAGTTGTGTACTATTTGGCTTATGTTCATATTTTTATGGTGTTTTTAAATTTATTTGTTTATTACATGTTTGTCAAATGTCTTTACATGATTAAAAAGTTATTCTAGCATGGTTTTGTGAAAGTTACATGCATATTCAACTTGGATGAGGTGATGAACATTTGTGGAGGTGTTATAGAAACTTTTGGCCAAGAGGAATATTCATGTTAACCGAACCTTGATTCTTCATTTGGTAGCTAATTTAGCTTTGATTCATGTATTTGATTATATTTTTGTTATGATTTTCATGTTTTTGAGGTTGTTGAATCAAATTTTCAATGAAAAAATGGTGTTTAATGTTTGGTTTTAATGATTTTTTTGTGTTTGTTTAGTTGGATTTTTAAAGAACAAAATGGTTTGATCCATTTTTTTCTTAATTTTTTATGAACATCTTGTTTGTAATTTAGTTTTGTAAATGCATAAGTATGTAATTAGTTGTGTAATTTAGTTTTGTAAATGCAAAAGCATTTAATTAGTTTGTTTTTTTGTCATGTTTTTGTCATATATTCATTAATGACATTTTGGTAATTTGATTTTATCAAATATATATTTGCAAGAAATCCCAAATCCCATATAACTCCAAATTCCATGAAACCTTAAATTTTAAACCCTAAACCTCAAACTCCAAGTTTTAAATCTTAAACTACATACCAAACCCTAAACCTCAAACTAAGCCTCAAACCTTAACCTAGATTCGAAACTGACTCTAAACCCTAAACTAGACCCTAAACCTTAACCTAGATCCTAAATTAACCTAAATCCTAAGGCACCAACCAAACCCTAAAAATCCAAACCAACCTTTCAATCCTAAAACTAATCATGCATTTGCATTTCATCTTATTTTTCCATTATATGCATTTATTTTTGGTCAACTAAAAACCTTTAATTTTTTTTATTTTTAAAAATATTTTAATGTTTACATTTTTAAAAAAAATATTTAAGAATTTTTTAAATTATTTTAAAATATTTTGGATTTTTTATTGAATCTTTAAAATTCTTTTAGAATTTTTTGAAATTTTTTTAATGTTAATGTAGCAACTGACAATGTGATATTAACTAGACTTTTTGACACATATCAATATTTTATTAAATATTCATACCACGTTAGTAAGTTGACTGACAGTGTTAGTTAAAAGTATCAAAGTGGGTGATGAAATGAAAGTTAGAGTACCTAACTAATAATTTTATTTCTTTAGATACCAAATTGACAAAAAAATATGTAATACAAGTGTTAAATGTGTATTTATCCCTTTCCATAATAGTCCTTTTTATAATTTTTTTTTTTGGGACATAAAAGACCACAATATTAGGGTAAGGGAAAAGGTTGTAGTCTTGTAGGTATTAAAATTTGAATCATTAACCTAGTGAAGATCAACTTTTAAAAATAATTATATGAATCATATAAGCTAATAGTCTCTTTTATAATCTTTAATTTAGTTATTAGTGTCAATATAATTTAAAAGGTAAAAAAAATTGACCTAACTCAAAAAATCATAAAAAAGATTTGAGATCAAACTTGATCCATTTGGAATGATTGAAAAAAAGTGAAAACAACTTAAAATAAAACTTAAATCCAAAACAATACAAATAAAAAATATCTTAGCTAAAGAATGATCCAAGCCCAAAATACCTTAAATCTAAAGCAATTTGACCCAAAATAATTCAAAATTGCAATGATATGAATTTTATTCTCTATTTACGTAGATCAAGCATATTAATTTTAAGTTAATTAAAAATTTCAACTAATGATATATATTGAAAAATTTAATATTCTTGATCAAAATAATAAAGATATAGGATCAATTCAAAACTTTACATGCATGAAATATATGAGCATATTATTAAATCTATCGATGTTCATAAAAATATTAATCACACATAAAGTTATAAAAAGGATGTTAAACAATATGTTTCATACTAATATAACTTAATTGCTCATATATATAAGAAAAAAATATGAGACTCGAGTGGCTAAAACCGAGTCAAATTTGAAAAACAACTCGCTTAAACTCATACCCAATCTAATTTAATTTAATTAAAAAAACAACAACTTAAACTCATTTTATTCTAAACTAAAAAATAACATAAACTCAAAACGACGAAAATTTGAAATGATATGAATTCAAAATAATTTAAATATGAATTAACCCGAATTAATCCAAATTTAAATTAAAGATAACTTTATTTTTTAAAATTATCAATTTAATAAAAGTAATAAATATCACAGTTTAGTGTCTAAAATATCTTTATATTATCTATTAAAATCTATTTTTATTATTTTATAAATCATTGCAAATTATTTTTAATTATGAGCATCTTAGTTATGAGTAAAAATAATTAAAAATACTTTTTTATTATAATTAAATTAGATTTATACAATTATATACCATATGCAATTTTGGATCGTAAATAATTTTTTATGATATCAAAACTAAAAAATGAAAATATGTTATAAATTAATAAAAATATACTTTCCTCTAATTTAATTATAATTGATAAAATCTGACTTTATCTAAATAATTCATTTAAGGTTCAATTTGATTTGATTTTAAACATTAATAACTTAAATTTAAAATAATTCAAATCTAAATAATTCTAATATAAAATTACTCAAATTTAAAATAATTTAAATTTAATATGATTTAAATTCAAAATGACTAGAAAGTAACCCACACAACACAAAACCATTTTTCTTGCCATTGCCATCTTTTTACTGTATATATATCACTTCTAATTTTTTATTATAATATTATAATTAATCAATTATAATAAAAATTTATATTTTAATTTGTCAGCTTTGTATATATATATATTTATGAATTCATACAATATTAAATTATAATGGATTAATTCTCTCTTTTGACGGACCGGGAAACGCGGAAACCCTGTGCGGCTGTGCCTGTTAGGATTAAGGTAACTAACTCTCACAGCCACATAAATAATTTTTCGTAAAAGGACTAAAGGCTCCTTTGCAACGGAGGAGGCGTTTGAGCCACCCATTCTGGTTTGCAATAAACGACAAAGAGGAAATGGGAAAAAGGAACTGGTGGTTCCAAAAGCATCACCAGCACCAGCCACCATAGCTATTTTAAACTAAATGGACCGTTACTGCTACTGTTTCTGCAATCTGCTAGTGCCAGTAAAATAAAGAAGAGAAAAGAAAAATAACAAGCAACAAACAGTGATCGCCGCTGCTCTCGCAGTTCTCAAAGACTCAAACAATTGGCATTGCAATTGCATGACTTACCATGAACAACATCGTCTGCAAGGCTTCGAGTTTGAGCCATGCAACTCTCACACCCAATACAAATTCTTCATTATTTCCTGTGAACAAAAGCCCTTGTCTCTCCAACAAATATTGCATTGCGTTTTCCACTGTTAAAAACAGAGCCAAAACTTTTTTGCTGACAAACAAGTACGTGAAAAGAGCGAGAGATTTCGATGGAGAAGAAGAAGAAAAAGAAGACGAAGCAAAAGCAAACAGGAACAGGAAAGTGTACTGTGAAGTGGAAGTACTTTCCTGGAGGGAAAGACGAATTAAAGCTGAAATTTCTGTTTCCGCTGACATTGATTCCGTCTGGAATGCTCTCACTGATTATGAACGTCTTGCCGATTTTATTCCTAATCTTGTTTGCAGGTTCACCCTTTTTTCCCTTTCTTATGTTTCTTTCTTCAATTTTCTTTAGAAAAAAAAAGAAATTATTACTATAATTTATCAATTTTGGTCATTTTTTTAATTAAATATGATTTGTTTTCCTTTTGATTTTTAAAAATTCTGAGCAAGTAAAAGAGAAATAACAAGCATAAGAAAATATTATGCCTTTGCAATTGTAAATAGGGTTGTTGATATTTGTAATAATTTAAATAGATTTTGCTACATGATTTTGTTTCTTATATATCATGCACTTTTTAATTTTTATTTTACACATAAAGAAAAAATCATTCTCCATATTAATCCATCTTCAAACTTATCATCTTTATCCTTGGACTATATTCATCATGTGGTAATGTCCCAAAATATCTATGCCACCATTGTAAATTTGTCGAATACTCTATATATTAAGCCCTTGAAACCTTATAAAGAGAATGTCGTATCTCCTTGAACTGTCCTCCTCCTAATGTGCCTTAAGGAATTAAGCCCCCTTCTTTGCAGCATGGAATGACAAGGCTAAAGCTAATATTGAAGAACAACTCACTCACATGTAGATCATGAATGCTTCATGTTGTGGTTATGTGTGGTTATGGTTAAATTGAAATGATGTTTTTGTCAGTTTTGGTTGGATAAATTCTTTAACTTTTACTCTTGATAAATTGTGAAGTCTACTATATTCTCTGTTGATTTGCTAGAGTATAAAAAATTATCGGTGGTGAACTATTAATTGGAGAATCTACACAAACCTGTTAAAATCAACTGTCCACACCTTCATTAGTTGTAGTTAATATCAGTTTGAATCAAAATTCTTGTAGTCAATGCTTATCTCCTTCCCCTCACTTCCTTCTCTGTTATTTGACTGCAATGAACAAAATTGTTAGTGGAAGGATTCCTTGCCCACATCCTGGACGAATATGGTTGGAGCAGAGAGGTTTGCAAAGGGCATTATATTGGCATATTGAAGCACGTGTTGTTCTTGATCTCCAAGAAATTCCTGATTCAGTAAGCATCCTAAGCCCTCTAGTTATAGTGTTGAATCACGGCATAAATATTAGTAATTGTCTATTGGTCAATCCTAGGATTTTGCTCCTCATATATATTCTCCTTGCAGTAATACTAATGGGTGTTGTTTCCCATATCTGTTTTTATCAATTTTTTTTAATAAATTTTGTTGTATAATTGACTGGAAGGCTTTGTTTTTCTGAAGTTGGCACTTATAGGCTGGAAGCTATCCTTGTGTAACATTTTCCATTTCCCATGAAAACTGCTACCTCCTTGTTAGGCAGGCAAAATTAGTAGAACTCCAATCTGCAATATTTTTCTATAGATTTTACTTTGTGGTTATCATCATGATTATGTTGAGCTTTAGCAGTGCCAGGAGCAGATGCCACTGTCACCAGCACTACCATCATAGCATCCAAAAAATCTATTCACCTGGCAATTATAAAGTTAATCCTACCCAGTTTCTGTCTATTTGGGGGCTAATAATTTCAGACATAGGTTTGATATACTAATCTTTTATTTACACTTATTTCATTTCAATTACTGTGTGGGCATGGAGCTTAGAATGATGATCGGGTTGAATAATATCTAGAGACCTTCACATATCCACATCTTCATGCTGGTCACAATCTTATAGATCATGAGATAGGACTAAAAGAGGCAAAGAGAGCTTGGTGTTGATGCTGGTCGAGCATTTTGTTGCAGTTACTATTATAAAGAATGGATGAAAGAAAGAATAAATTCATTGGGGGACAAATTTTTGTTAACCTAAAGAATTACATGGTTCTAGATGCACCCATAGCATTTCCCTTGGTTGGTGCATGATCCCTCTACTCAAAGAGCAGGTTCGCATCCCCCCTTCCCCAAATCAAAAAAGAAAAAGGAATTACTTGGTTCTAGATGATAACTTTCATCAACTTTGTCACATTAAATGCTTCCATTCTGTTATATAGCATACATGGGACTTAATTTTTGGTCCTTTGCATTTAATTGACAAAAATATTTGGAGGATTCACATTCAATTACTAATGAGATGCAAGACTGAAATTATTGCAATTGCAACTAAGAACTTGGAATTGAAGTTTGCGCCAAAGTTGGAGGATGGATATTGTAATTTGGCAAAATAGTTTGATCATAGGGCTTTGCCTTGGTTGGATATGAATAGCAGTCAATCATCTTTATCAAAAATAAGGTAGTTGATGGAATGTCTAGAATGAACTGGTTTAATGAGGGTGATACTTTTTGAGGATTTGAAATAAAGGCTTAAAGCATATATGAAACGAACATTAAGGAAGATTAATGTCCTGAAAAGCATTTAACCTATTAGTGCTCAACTATTAATAAAGACAGGGACTGCTAATCATCATACAAGTATTCCAGGCGGGCCCTTTTCCTGTGAACAGCTGACTGCAAGGAATGAATCTGAATTATGGAGAAAATATTAGATATCTCTGCCTTGGCTTAGGAGTAAACAGAGGGAGCTAGTCTCTGTCATCCTCTTTTTACTGACATTGTGCAATCTTCCTTTCTTCAAGCTTAAAAATTAATTAAGCCCTAGTTCCTCTACCAACCACGGATCCTTGACCACTACTGATATAATTTGCTATTTGATCCATGAAATATTTCAAGCACCTCTTTTAGTCATAATGCCATAATTTTTGGAGAAAATATAAAATTATCTTTTGACCATGTGATCATGTGTGGGCTTTGAGTGAATAATTGAAGATGGAGAAGGCTCATGAAGACAAGCTATGCTAAGCTCAATCTTTAATTTTGGGCAAGGTGGGTCCATGAAGCCACTAATTTGCTGGTTTATAAAGCGACACTCTTTGAAACAGAAAATAGGATTTTCAACTGAAATTGACTCGGCTGCTAGTGGTCATTAACTAAAATTGCATCTTTTCTGTCAAATGGATTGATAGAAAGCTCTGACTTTTAATCTTTACAAAGCATTTTTTAAAGAACTAAAATCCGATAAAGCTTGAAAGGAAAGGGGAGTTATGTTTCATGAAAACATATGGATAGATTTTTGGCAGCTACGAAATTGAAATGGTGTTTAGAGAAGAGGTTTATTCAGCTTTATTTGCTTTGGATTGTTTATTTGTGCATAATTCAATTTGAGCTCTTCATTTTTCTTTCATATTTTTAATTTTCACAAATTGAAATGGTGTTTGGAGAAAAGGTTTATTCAGCTTTATTTGCTTTGGATTGTTTATTTGTGCTTAATTGAATTTGAGCTCTTTTCATTTGTCTTTCATATTTTTAATTTTCACATGTGCCTTTCTGTTCTCTTTAATATGTACAAGCTTTATAAGTTTTTGCTTGTGATTCAGTCCAATGGTTGTGAACTCCTTTTTTCCATGGTTGATGGAGATTTTAAGAAGTTTGAAGGGAAATGGTCAGTCAAATCTGGAACAAGGTAGCATCAATGTTCTCTATTTCATATCTGACGTGTTTTGGAATTCATGCTTTTATCATATGATGTAAAAACCTATGTTCTCTTTGACATTGTTGCAGCTCTGGTACTACTATTTTATCATATGAAGTTAGTGTAATTCCAAGATTTAACTTTCCTGCCATTTTCCTGGAGAGGATTATCAGATCTGATCTTCCTGTGAATCTTCGAGCATTAGCTTGTCAAGCTGAAAAGAATTTTCATGGGAATCAGAAGATGTCAATAGCAAAAGATTTGGTTAGAACTTCTTTGCCTGTTCTTTCTTCACCTGGCATGGACTGGGATGGTGCACTCTTAAGAAAGGAGAAACCACCATCACTAGACCTAAGAGAAAGTTATGCTAGCTCCAATCTTGGTCCCCTGCTACCATCTTCAAGTGATTTGAATAGTAACTGGGGGGTTTATGGAAAAGTTTGCAGAATTGATAGGCCTTGCATGGTGGATGAAGTTCATCTTCGTAGATTTGATGGCCTATTGGTAACTGATTGATTCTAGTCCGTACTTATTGGGTCTTCCTGTTTGGTGGAAGGCCACTTGTATTTTAGCTATTGCTGATAAAATGACTTCTGTTTTAGCTGTTGCTGATAAAATGCTTTTGGGCTGAAGGAAAATGGAGGCGTACATCGCTGTGTTGTTGCTAGCATAACTGTTAAAGCTCCTGTTCGTGAAGTTTGGAATGTTTTAACTGCATATGAGAGTCTCCCAGAGTAAGCAATTGTGGTCTTGTTTCTTGAACTCCAGTCTAAGGATTAACTGCCATTGTTTCATTTGAACTTATTTTCAATTTCCACAGCTATCGGCATTAGTCGTTATATTTCAATTCCAAAGTGATAGGCATTAGTTTTTTTAATTTGTTAGTTTGGCAGCTTCTTTAACTCTATCTCTTAAAATTTTACATTCAATAGCCTTGTTAGTTAGGTCTTGTGACTCCACTTTGTAGCACTGTACCATTTACATTGGGTTTGAGACTCAAATAATTAGAATAATCTAATCCAGAAAAGTGAAAGTGATGTATGATACAATTGGGGAAGTACACAATAAGGGTTTCGGTTGGTAGGTGTAGAAAATTAGGGATTTTAGGCTTTAGAGCTACTGTAGGGATTAGAATTAGTGTTTAATTCAATTGAGGTTTTATCTCGGAAAATGGTGCTGGAATTTTGGGTGGCAGGAGAACTAGATTCAAGCAGTATGTATTTTTCTGTTAAGCAAAGATTAAAGAAGGCTATGCATGGTGTCATATGCTGTGAACAGTAGCTGAGGCATTATAAGTGTAGAAAGAAAAGAGGAGAAAAGGAAAGAGAGAAAATACTCAGTTAGCCAATTTATTTTACATTTTTGTATTTATGTCTCTTTGAAGTCTTTACCATCTATCTTGGTAGAGTTGGAATTTTATAAGGACTGAGTTATTGGCTAATTGAGTACTCGGCCAAAAAAAAAATCATCAAAATAGAATTCTTTTAGATTTTTTTTTCCTACCTTTGAACACACTTTTTACTTTCAAAAATAAATGTAACCACTAAAGCAACAACTAAAGGAATGAATAAGGCCCAAATATATAACATAAAGACTAGATGTCATAATGACTTGACTAGAAAAACCTAGTGGACCAACACTAAATTAATTACAAAAATACAAATTGACATAATTAAAAATTTTGAAAATAACCTTGGACACCAAAACTCCATCAAAGTGATAAATTACTGTACTTTTGACATACTAACTATTATGGAAAATTTCCCTTGGACCAAAAGGACTTCTTGCTGGAAGAAGAATTCGGCCTTCAGCATTCTGAATAGTTAAACTAAAAGGACCAAGCTATTATCTTGACATCATAATGTTTTCTCCTAGCATTCATTAACAATTTAGGAATTCATGAAAAAGGGAGAAATGGTGAGGAAAAAGAAACACTCATATTATATCAGTATACTTTGCTCTTTTTCAAAGCTGTATTAGGTTCTGCAGTCCTTGATACTTCAATTTACTCTTGAAAGCATGCCTTCATGAGGACTGCTTAGTTTATTTGAAGAGAACATCTTGTTGGACGCGTGCCTTAGGCCTCGCAGACTGGAGTGAAATTATACAAGGCTTAGAATGTGCTAGTTTGGAGTTATAGCTTCTTGGTGAGTAAATTAGGCATGAAGATATATATTTCTTTAGCACATGCTAACTTTGGTAATTATGAAGGTATTTGGCCTTAAATCAACATGTAAGGTATTTCACCATCATTCTTGTTTGGAGCATATATAGCTACAGAACTTACCAGTTACCACCTTTTCCCCACTTCACATTGATGATAAAATGGAATAGATTAGATTAAATAAATCTACAGTATTCAAATTTTAAGATCTTTCTAATCAAGTAAATGTAGACGTTGTTTCTCTTTCCTCATAAGTTTCATTTTTGCAGGATTGTTCCAAATTTAGCTATTAGTAAAGTTTTATCTCGTGAAAGCAACAAAGTTCGCATTCTTCAGGTACGAGTAAGATGTTGTTTTTTATGAAACATTTTCACTTTTAGAGTGCCATGGTAAATTGCTTTTGCATTCTATTGTTTTTGGTGCATGAATGATAAGTTTTTTCCCATCTTGTCTTATATGAACTTGTCCATATAGATTATGCAAGCCAACCCATCTCTTGAGAATTCTGTAATCATATCAGTATTGGATAATTAATCTAATTAACTTTCTGTTTATTTGTTATAAGTTTAAAGACAATGAAAGAAATAACATTAAATAAAGAATTAACTCTATCATGTCTAACGCTTTATATGCACCAAATGTTAAGGATGTTTCCATACAAAAGATCAACTGAAGTACATTAATATTAATTGTGTCCTCTAAAGCAATCATCATTCTCAAGCCTCAACATGTTGCAAAGGCCAAATTGGTTTAAATCTTCAATATGATTGTATCAATCAGTGCTATGTGACAAAATGCAGAAAAATGTTTTCACTAGAAAATAATAAAAATGCAACAAAATTCATGTTCTACTATTAAATTTCATTGAGATCTTAAAAGAATATATATCTTAAGATCTTGACTCTGTTCAGCACCCTTTCCTTGAGTAGGTCTATTAAAGATTTTGCCCCGGAAGCATATTGTTTCAGTTTTTCTTATTGGATTTTACTAGCACTCATTATCTGTGTGTTAGTGTGGGTCATCAAATTAAGTTATGGTAAGGTGTCAAACTACATATCAAATTACTAATATTACTACTAGATAAATGTTTATAATTTTAATGCTATTAAATGACAAATATAGTAAGTGATACAGGTTGATGTTATTCATTAGACTGTTTAACTATGCATTAACATGTAATATCATGAAAATGGTGCAACGAAGTGCATGTAAAAATTATGTCAAGCAATATTCATCAGTTTACATTATTGCATGATATCTCAAAGGTTAGAACAAAGTTGCATCTCGGAGGTTTCAGGTCTGAATCTTGGGAATGGGAGTGTGGGGTCTATTGGTTGGAAAGCGGGTATCTCCTTTTGATATGGACAGGAAAACGAAAAGTTAGATAATCGTGTTTGAATGAAATTGTGTTGAATTATGATCTATCACATAATAAAAACATATTTATTTAGGCTATATTAACTTAGTATAAAAAATTTCTTTGTCAAAATAATTTTGATGGAAAATGTTTTCTTAGATAAATATTTTTACATTATTTGATAAATAATTAGAACTAATAAAAATAATAATGAGTTAAGCTAAAGGAGTGTTATTTATTTATTTTGTTGATGCAAAAGTAAAAAATTGGACTTTGGTCGAGCATGACCTAGGTTAGAGCTTGGACTTCTATTCTTGAGCTTGAGTTTCCACATTGTTGACTTTACTTATTTATACACCTATTTATGACCCTGTGGCTCATCCAATTTATGGTGTTGACCTGTATTTTTCATCTTCATTATAATTGAACTTATTTCCTTTATATTCTGGCATTTCTCATGTGTCATAAGTCAAATAAAAAAAGAGGTTAGATTCATTCTGTATCATCTTTAAACAAAGATGATATGCCCAATTATCTTAATATGATAAAAATCTGTGTCTTTTTTTTTTTTTTTACATTTTCAGATAAGTTATTGAAGATAGACATTTTTTCTTTTTTTTTTTGTAAAAACGCAAAGAACACTTAAACAATGGAGCTGTCACTCTCCTTGAAACAATGCCATGCTCCTCTAATTTAGTACATATATTATATCATTGTGATTTGTAGTTATTCCCCATATCTGTTATGATGTTCTTGTAGAGTTAGAATTTGGAACCTTAGGATCAGGTAGGGAGCATTGACATGTGGAACAGCGCCATACTTGATTTAAAATCCTGGAAGGGAATCTTGTGGTCCTAATTGGCTTAAGACTCAGTTTCAACACAATGCAACACAACAATCAAGCGTTTCCCTGCAATGTTGCATCAGCTACATGGAGTATATTCTGTCATTGTGTGCTACTAAGGACCATACATTGAGTATGATGTTGTTGTCACCATTCTATCTTTAGGACCTGTGAACAAAATAGAGGAGAAACAGAAGATAACTTCTTATTGATTAATATGAGAATTACAAGGATTTAAATAAAACTAAAATTTAAAATTTAACTTCCTATGTACCTGAGCATAATTTTAGGAACTAAATAACAACCTAATAACCTAAAAATCTAAATCTATTAATATTTAATAGTTTAGATTTTATTAAAAAAAATCCTAATATTTCTACACTCCCTTCAAGGTGGTGCATGGATGTTAATCATGCCCAACTTGTTGGCTACTGCTTCAAAACCAGGTCTAGACAAACTCTTGGTCAGAATGTCTGCTGTTTGTTTCTCTGAGGTGACATACGGCATGCAGATTACTCCATTTTCTAACTCCTCCTTAATGAAATGCCTATCAATCTCGACATGTTTTGTATAATCATGCTACGCTGTTTGTTGCTTTATTATCACAAAACAGGTTCATAGGAGGTTCTAATTCTAGCTTCGGTTCTTCAAGTACTCTCTTCAGCCACATCATCTCACATACTCCATTAGCCATAGCTCGAAATTCTGCCTCTGCTTTACATCGTGCAACAATATTCTGCTTCTTACTCCTCCAACTGACAAGATTACCCCAAAGACATGCACAATAACCAGAAATTGATCTTCTATCAGTGATTGAGCCTACCCAATCTGCATCTATGAAAACTTACACACTTCTCAAATGGTTTTTCTTGAACAACAATCCTTTCCCTGGTGTATTCTTAAGATATCTCAAAAACCTGTGTATTGCCTCAAGACGTTCTTCATATGGTGAGTGCAAAAACTGGCTTACAACATTGACTGCAAATGCGATGTTTGGCCTTGTTTGGAAAAGATAGATTAATTTTCCTACATGGTGGTGGTACCTTCCTTTTTCAATTGGCACTCCTTCGGTCTTTCCTCCAAGCTTTTGGTTCAAGTCCATTGGTGTATCACTTGGCTTGCAAGCACTCATTCCAATCTCTTTTAGCAAGTCTAAGATGTACTTCCTTTGTGATACAACAATTCCCTTTTTTGATCTTGCAACTTCCATTCCCAAAAAGCATTGTAATGGTCCCAAACCTTTGATATCAAATTCTGCTGCAAGGCATCTCTTCAATCTAGCAATCTCAGTAGCAACACTTTCTGTATGGGTTATGTCATCTACATAAACAATCAAAATTGCAATCTTCCCACCATTAGTATGCCTCATGAACATTGTATGATGTGTTTGCCCCTGACTATAACCTTGATTCTTGACTGATCTTGTAAATCGCTCAAACCATGCCCTTGGAGATTGCTTTAAACCATATAAGGACTTTTTTAACCTGCATACTGTAGACCTAAAATTGTCTTCAAATCCTGGTGGAGCACCTATAAAGACCTCTTCTTCTAAGTTACCATTAACAAACGCGTTCTTAACATCTAATTGATATAATGACTATTCCAAGTTCACAGCCACGGACAAAAGCACGCACACTGTATTTAATTTTGCAACTAAAGCAAATGTTTCCTGGTAGTCGATCCCATATGTTTGTGTCAAAACCTTTAGCTACCAACCTTGCCTTGTAATGCTCCAAAGTCCCATCTGATTTAAACTTTATTGTAAACACCCACTTATATCCCACAAACATCTCCTTTTCTGGCAAACTAACCTTTTCCCATGTGTCATTCTTTTCTAGAGCCTTCATCTCGTTAAAGACAGCCTCCCTCAATTAAGAACAATTAAAGCTTCCTGTATATTCTTAAGAATATCGATACTAGACAACTGTGAGGTAAAAGCAAATGAGGGTAATGAATTTTTATATGACACATACTTGGAAATTGGATGCTTAGTACATATTCTAACACATTTTCTAAGAGTAATTGGAATATCTACAGAATTAAGAATGTCAATTTTCAAAGGATCAAATTCAGAAAAGGTACTTAGGTTGAAGAAACTGTGTTATTTGGATGTGGCCTCATATCAGATTTTTGGCTTTGTAAGGTTGTGATGTCATCTTTCTTTTGAATCTATTTTTTCCTTAAGTAGACAATAAGCTCAGAACCTTTCTTTTTATTTCTTGAATTATTCTTTGTTCTAGTTTCTATTTCAATTATAGGTAGTGAAGTATGATGTCCCATTTCCAGATATGAAACTCCAAAATCCAAACTCATTAAAGTATTTGGTTGTAGTATAAAATCTATGTTTTTACCTTCAAGTTCAAACAATGAGTCTTCACAATTATTCTCCCCCTAAAGAGGAGTGTCAAAGAAACTTTGAGATACAAAAAAAATGACATCTATAATTATAAAAAACTTTTTGTTTGAGGAATAAAACAGGGATTCCCTTTTTGTGTTGAAGAGTATCCAAGAAAAACACGTTTTCTAGCTCGTGGGTCCAATTTATTTTGGTTATAGTCATGCATATGCACAAAAGCAGCACATCCAAGTACTTTAACAGATAAATCAGATACTAAATATGACATTAAAAAACATTTTGTAAACATTTTTAATGGTGTTTAAAGGTTCAAAACTCTTGATGGCATTTTGTTAATCAGGTAAATAGCAATAAGAATGGCTTCCCCCCTATAAGTATTTAGGTACTTTAGTTGTAAACATTAAAAACCTAGCTACTTCCAAGAGATGTTTATTTTTCCTTTTTGCTACTCCATTGTTGCTATGGAGTGTCAATACAAGAGCTTTGATGAATATTTCCCTTTTCCAAAAGTTATGTTCCAAGAATCTAATTAAAGTATTCTTTCTTGTTATCATTTCGAAACACTTGAATTTTTTCTTGAAATTGTGTTTCAACCATATTATAAAAGTTTTTGAAAACATATTCAACATCTGATTTTTCTTTGAGTAGATAAACCCAACAAATCCTTGTATGATCATTAATTAATGTTAGAAACCATCTTTTTCTAGAAATTGTTGGTGTTCTATATGAACCCCATACATCAATATGAACAAGAGCAAATGGCTTAGAAGACTTATAAG